ATGTGGGCATCGGTGGGTGTGGGTGCGTCTGAATGTGGGTATGCTCTTCATATTCACACACTCACACCAACACACACCCCAAACCGGTCTACCGGTCCAACCGGCCCAAACCAGTTTACCAACCGAAACCGATTTACCGGGAAAAAGTTGGCCTGACCGGTCTACTGGCCAAAACTATCCTATCGGTACTAAACAGCATGCTGATGATACGTCAGTTCAAAAGAGAAAATCCGACCTACCGACAAATTATCGATCTACAGACAACAGGCTGAGGCTTGAAATGAAATTTTGTTTCATAGCGAACTCTCTAGCGGGCTACCCTCGTATTTTCACTCATAGTGGTATAATATTTCACCGTTGACAGCAATTGTCTCACTGATAGGCATTCTGAAAACTGGTTTTTAAATAAATTCCTGTGATCAGTGGGACTATTCTTGGTGATAGTTGTTTTTTCATATGAATGCCATCATAGAGCAGGAAAATGAAAAATATAGATCCGTATAAGACGGTTTAGACCGGTCGATCCAAAATCCAGACCGGTACCGGACCGGACAGGCCAGATACCGGTATCGGTTTCATCTCTGTTGTATATATGAACTCATTGCGAATTTATTGAGAGATTACTATGTCATTCAATATATAGAACCTGAAAATACTCTATTCATTAAATAAAAAAATATTTCGTAGAAATCTTCGAGAAAAATGCTTAAAAAGAAAAATTCTTTCAAAACAGTTTAAAGTATTTCAATGTCATACGAATCAATCAATAAGGAAAGAACAAAATCGTATAAGGTTTTTATACACGATGTTTTACATGAGGTACAAATAACCGAAGATCGAATATATGAGATTCATAGTTCAGATAAGATAATTCGAGTATATTATGTTTTGAATAATACATATCTTGCAATTTAGAGTAGAGAATAATTTCAGAGAAAAAGATTATTGATAAGTAGAAAAACAAATGTGGATCAAATATGCCACGTTTGATGACCTTATTTACGCCTATTTCTGTTCTCTGAGAGAACCAAATTAATTGATAATTTTTGGCGAGAACAAAATGTTTCTCGTATGTAGCAAGACATTTGTTGATCCCAATATCTCATGCATGCAGTAGAAAAGAGAACATATTTGGTATCCAGATGAATAACATTTACTTCATATAATATTTATAGAGAAGCAATCATTTGTTGATTCTTTCTTTTTCTCTTTTGTTCGTTGTTTTCTTCTATTTCAAGGGTAGACAAATCTATGAATCAGTAATAGCTATGCATAGTTTTGCTGTTGTACGAATACATTGGTTCTACAGTATATATATATAATAGTTGAAGATACTCATCGATATTTCTACTTTGGTGCTTGTTTGTAGTAGTCTCTCTACTTACGTTAAGAGAATGGCCAATTATGGACCTGCTTATGGATCGCTGGCTAACAGTCTGGTAAAAGTAAGAAAACCTGTTATGAATCTTATGTCTACTAGAAATATATCTTAAATAATAATAATTAAAGTTCGTTTTTCATATTATTATGTCAGAAAAGAATCAATGAACCATCACGATCATTATGTAGTGTATATTTCAAGAACTATTTCAGAAAAAGTATCAATACTATATCCGTCCTTATCATAATTTTGCACCATAATAAAGAGAGAATGGTTTTGTTATCAATTGTTTTCTTGATAACTATCATCATTCTCAATCACATTATTAGATAGCAGCAAAACGCGATCCAGAACTTGAAAACGAAATACAAACATGGATTGAATCAGTAATCGGTGAAAGATTTCCGGATTGTTCTTATGAAGATGCTCTTAAAGATGGCATTATCTTATGCAAGTATGCTATAGCTTTCTATGAAAAAATCTCTTAATTTCTATTCTATTTTTCAAAAACAATACAAGATTGATGAACGAACTTGAACCGAATGCAATTGACAACTTTACGATAACTGATGGAGGATTTAGATCACGCGAGAATATCTTACTTTTCCGTAAGTATAATTTATTTTTTATATGCTAATGATTGAATTTTAATATGTGCAATAGAAAATGCAGCTCGAGCTTACGGTCTAGCTGATCTGGAGTTATTTCAAACGGTAGATCTTTACGAAAAACGGAATATTCCTCAAGTAACACATTGCTTATTAACACTTGCACGACAAGTAAACGAATCATTTTATTTAAAGGACATTTCATATACTTTCTTTTGTTTTAGGCTCAAAAGAAAAATTTTAATGGACCTCTACTTCGACACAATGCACCTGAATTTCGTCCTTGCAAGGTTCCCGAAGACAAACTGTTTCCTAGGAAAAGTCTGGCCGGTCTTCGTCATTCGGGATCGAAAAAATCTACACATTTTTCTACCTAAAATAGTGTAATGATTTAGCACAAATTACATTATTAATGGATAATAAACTAACGCATCTTGCTATGTCTTGTACATCTTGATGAATAAACTATTTTTGTATTAGTATTTTGTCATAATTAATAAAAGCAAGAGTAGACAAATGAAATGTAAACAATCTATAATCACTTTGATATCGGGTTAAAATGTATCGCAAGTGATATCCCTGTGTATCTCTATTTTACGATGATAACCTATGAGAAAAATGCTCTATGTTAGTATTCTCATCAAGAAATCATAATCAAAGGCACTTCTGTTTGGAAATCGAAATAAAGAAACAGCAACATGTAGAAATCTTATCTAAGAGGTGTATACTTTACTTCAGTATTTGGATTCATGTCAAAGCATATCGATTGTGTTAAGAAAAACTACGTTTTGAATATAAGTTGTTCATCTATTGTCTTCGACAATTATGGTCTGTGCACGGATTGATTATTATATTTGACCTCTCACATCAGCTGCTTTCGTAAGTATCTTGGGTGGGTGTAAATGTCTTACTCAAATGTACTCACACTCAAACCTATCTACCCTATAGTGGAAGCGAAAGACGTTTTATTTATTCCACGAAGTTAAATATAGTCGAGCAATATTATGTTTACGAATCTCAAAAAGAAAAAAAATTATGAATTCTTTTACTGAAATAAAGACACATTTATTGGCTAAGACCGTTTGAAAACTAATTCAGAATATAATTTTTATAGCAATGAAAAGAAATTTCAAATTCTATTCGATCTAATCGGCCAATAATACAAACACAATAAGTGACACTTTCGATATCACAAACACGCATCCTTATCATTGTTCAATATAATTACTTATAAATACCTTTTCGATGATTTAATGAGAAAAAATAAACATTTCTGTAAATGTTTTTTTTTTGTATTATTTTCTAAGAAAACCTTGGTTAATAATCTATTTTTTCCGTTTCATTTATATGGAACTAAATTATGTAATCAAAGATTTCTTTTTTCAAAACTGAACATAGAAAGTAAAATATGCAGAACTATAAATGTTTATGTTATTGAGTTTATTAATTAATAAAACAAGAACATTTCATTGGGAAAAATAGTCGAAGCTCTATGAATGATCATTACGATCGTATTAAAACAAATAAAAATGCATAAAAATAAGCTTGAACAAATGCATTTACATAGCAAATACTTCAAAAAAACTCAAATAACTATAAGTTGAATGATATTTCTATCTTAAATAAGTCGACATTCATTGTTCGATAACTGACCGAGTGAACAATATTTTTTCCGATGTGTAGGAGATCATTGACAATGAGAATTACACTATGTATATGATGATAATTGTGTATTCACAACATCATTATTTCACAAAACAAAGAAAAGCAGACAGAAATGGATTCATAATCTATTTTTCGAGCTATTACTTTGTGTTCTTCAGTAATGTCTCGATCGCTAAAATGTCGGCGAAAAAGGTATTTTTTTTTCTTTTTAAGTCAGCTGTTGTATATTCACCCTCGTCGATCATTGTTCATGTGTTTGCGAAACTCACTATGAATATGGTTATCATTTGTTGCTCTTTGAATAGTTACACCCGTGGGCAAAAGTCTTTCCCTTCCCCCTTATTTTTTAAAACTTTTAATATTTGTTTTCCTTTTATTATCGAACTATTGTATAACAGAAGTACGGCTATATACAATAGTCCCTCTCGCTTCTCTTTCTTTTATGTGTTAATGTGGATGACCCAATCTAATGTAACAATTGTTCATGTAAAATATGGACTGATATTAAGAATAGTTTTTATCATTATTTTTTCATAATATTTGAAACATGCCACTTTCTCTATCACAACGCTATGAAATCGTGTTTCTCAAACTACATCCGTTGGGCCCTAAAATGTAAAATAAAGCTATCTCAAAGTACATTGGGTGTGAACCAAAAACCATACGATATTGGCTTGCCAGATGGCAAGAAAATGAAGATTTATCCAATTTGCCAAAAAGTGATCGACCACGTCCCACGTCAAAGAAAACAGATTTAAAGATTGTTAATATTGCCAAACGTGAGCTAAATATTACATCAAATGATATCTCAAATATTTTAAAAAACGACGGGGTGGATATAGATCCAAGTACTGTTAGATAGACGTCGATTAAGTGAAAGTGGTGGACCTTAGGGTCCACCTTAAAAAAAACCCTTACTCACAGAAAAACATCGTAAGCAACGGCTCATCTGGGCTCGACAACATCAACACTTCAAGTGGGACAACGTGATCTTTACTGATGAGAAGACGTTCAAACTTGGCAACAACACAAGAAGAGTTTGGAGATTTCCAGGCGTTACCAAAGTTGTTCGTACAGTTAAATATCCTTTTAAATTGCATGTCTGGGAATGCTTTTCAAAACAAGGTTTCGAACAATTAATTACTTTCAGGCATAATTTGACATGAGGATGGGTGTGGGTAGGTACATCTACAACCACACACCACACCCTATGGAGCAATGGTACAATTAATTTATCATAACAATCTGTAGACTCATCACAATACAGCGAAAAACATCTTAGATTAGGTAATTTTTCCTAGAGAAGAGAAAAAAACATTCCTTTATTTCGATAAATTTTATAGTAATCAGAACTCATCTACTTCATTATTGATTGTTAAACCTTTAGAGCAAATATACATAATAGTAACATGAAATGTTTGAAGTTGATTGAAACGTCCATCAAGTAAATAAAGACAATCAATAATATCACCCACATGAATATGTAATTCTAATAGATTTGAAGAAAAAACAGTCGGAGGTGACATGTCAAATGATATTAGCTGATGTGAATTTGAAAATGGATCAAAATTTAAATTTTTTAAATTGATGAACATAGTAAAGATACGTGCAAATATAATACTGCCAACTTGTAATGCTAAAATTTCATCTTTATTTTTGTTTATATTGAAAACAAGTGACGATATTTTATCTTTGTTTACATGAGGCAAAGCAGTATCGTCTAAATAAAAATAAAAATGTATTATTGATTTGTTCAATTTATTTAAAACTAATAATGCAACATACAAATTTATTTTTAGATTACTGAATGATCTACTCAGCTACAGTGTACGTCAAGTCTTGTGTTACTTTTTTTTGAATTGTATTCAAACTACACAATATTAATTTAATTTGTCTATATGCCTGTATAGTACAAATCGAATACTATATCTATATATATGTTTCTGTTTAATACGAAAAGCTCCTGAATACATAATACAACAAAAGCAAACAAACTTCAATGCTAAGAAAAAAATGGCATAAAAAACGACACAATAATATTGTTGGCATAGGATAATTCTATGAAAAGTCAATCACAAAAAGCAGAAAATATTCAAAAAACTTTTCATTTTTTTAGACTTTGTAGAGCTTTTTTGCTGATCATTTTGGTTAAAAAAAAGATTTTGAATTTCATTGAGAAATTACGATGTTATCGTCAAAATATTAAACACAATGAAATAACGAGTGTCCTAAAATATTTGTAACGTAGTTTATTTTTCGAATATCTCTGCAGAGACAAATGATAAAATCGGTATAAACAATTCCTATTGCTACACAAAAGTTCTCCAAACATTTTTATTAGCATTTTATGGTTTTTATGCCATTTTTTTAGCATTGAAGTTTCTTTTGTTGTTATTGTATTTTATATTCAAGGGGTTTTCGTATTTAAAAGATACATATATATATATATATATATAGATAATATTCAACCTCTATTACACAGGCATATAGACAAATTAAATTAATGTTGTGTAGTTTTAATACATGAAGAAAAACGAAAAAGTGGTACAAAACTTTTGAGGCGCACTATATAGTATAAATATAATAAAATCAATAATGCTGAACTTTTATTTCTCATTTATTTAAAATTATAATAATTCAAGGAAATTATCTTACGAAAAACTAGAGATATAGCTTTTTCCATATCAAGACCATGTAAACCAAGTTTATATAAATTAGGATAATTTGAAGCAAGAAGAATACGTTCCATAGATGTTGATTCAAGATCAAGCCATTTGATTTTATGATGAATTTCAGGTAAAAATTTGTAAACAAACTCGATCAAGCATTAGACCAGGCCATGGATCGGTAAAATCATTCAAAAAACAAATTAATGTTAAATGACTTATATAAATTGAATCATATGTTATTGTATTCAGTCGTTTATTAACACCTATTAAAGAATAGAGTACTTCGATATTAGATAATTTTTCCAAAATAATTATAAGCATTTCATCTGGTATATCATTTATTCTCATCGATCAATGTTCCATATTTATCTATGCCTCGATGTATTTTTTTGTGTCTTCTATAGATATCAATATATATATATGTTAGCGTCCAATATCGGATTCAGTCCAATCTCGGATTGGCCTAGGTCAATCTTGATTGTTTACATTGGACTAGTCCAATGTCGGATCGGTACAATTCTTTTTGTTAAGATATCAATTAATCTTTCGATAGACGTTAGATTCGAATTCTTTTTAGGAACTGTGCTAAGATAATGCCATGTCAGGGAACACAATTGTCGTTGGAGAGATTAAAAGAGAATTTGTGAAGTGATGAACAATTTCCTGCAGAACAACAGCTTTTATGAGAAACTGTCCTTAAGTGTTTGACTTTGAACTTAGCTTCTTCATAGATGATTGCAATACTTAAAAGGGCATTGTCTCAACATAAGTCCAAAATAGAATTCGAATCCAACATCTAACTAAAGATTAATTTATGCTTTAACAGAAACAATTGCACCGATCCGATATTGGACTGAAATATTTAAACATGCCCATTTCGTTTATTTGACCGATATTGTCAATGATCGCCAATGAAAATAATAATATACTTTTTTTTTAAAGTCTAAATCAACAATAAACAAATAATTGAATGAATGAATGAAAGAATAAGATTATTTCTCTCTTTGCTATTGTCATCCAAAATATTTGATAACATGAACATTTATAACTATTGATTGTTAGTTTTATTCTGTCACGAGAATTATATTTGATGAGACCAACAAAGAGTTTTGTTTTATTATTTCATATTAATAGACTACATTATCGATGTAGCTAATCAGAACATATGATCTGATAGTAATTATTTATTAAAATAAATATTGCTTGTCACAAGTATCTTGGGCTTCTTTTATCAGATTATATACATTCTAGATAGACATTGACTGACATAGTGCTGTTTTGGAGGTTGAGAATATTTGTAATTTGAATAACTGTCTATAATAGTCATCTTATAGCTATTTACTTTTTCTGGTCTTGTTTTAGTCGTTTTGTTCTGTGTCACTAAACTAATGAACAAAAATTTTTTGTTTTCAAGTATTGTTTGATGCTTGAAAAGTCTGTAGAAGTTATGGGATGATATGGAACATATATTCAAAATTTCCATTCATAAGTCAATATAATTTACTTACTCGATAGGCCATAAAAATTAGAGAAAAGAAAATTAAATAACTAATACCATTGTAATAGTCAGACTAGGGCTTCTATACGTATTGAGAATGAAAATAATTTTTTACTTATTTTTGGCAATTGGTTGTTGTTTCACTTCGATTGATATTCGTTTTATCGAAAGATTTATTATCAAGGTTTTTATTTGATTATCTTTTAGAAATGCATCTGGAATATAAAACTATGATGACAATTAGATCAAATAGATTTCTCACAATAGTACAACATATCTAAGAAATCAAGAATGTAAACGATTAAAAAGAAATATCAGTTTTTATAGACTATTTACTTATCCACATTATGTCTGCGTTTTCAACATTTTTGTATACCATTTGCTGATCATCTTTTTTTGTAATTTTCATTCTGAGGCATTGTTGAGAGACATATATATTAAGAGGGTGTGGATTTAGATAAGATGACGAGGTACTCACACCGACACCCGCACTATATTGATGAATAACAATCTTCTAATTTAAGTTCATACTTTTGTACAAAATAATCATTCATATACGTGCATCATTACATAATTTATAGCAATGATTGCATGAAACATCAATGCATCACATGGATTAAAAGATGAATTCTCAGTTTGACCAAATTTAGATAAAAGAATTTAAACGAGTAGATCGATTACTATGAATGAAACATTCAAAAACAAACAAAATTTAAGATGATTCAACATTTTATTGAAGTCACTATACATGCAAATGTAAAACAATACCTGAACAATTTAAAATTCAATATTAGACTTACTAAACATGCAATGCAACTAGTGATTTCAATAGTTTTATCAACCATATCCGGATCGATATTGATTTATTGATTAGATGATTTTTAAAATTGCCTAAGAAATTACAAATCACTGACGTAACAAAAACGATATAAAAAAGGGTGTGGGTGTGGGTTTGGGGTGTTGGCGTTCACACAATCGACACCCACCCACACCCACGCCCGCACCCTTATATCATTTTCTACATAACCTGTAAAAGCAGTTGGGTGGGGTGTGGGTGGGTGTGGGTGTGGGTAGATGTGCGTGTGCGTGTATGAGTGTGGATGGGAAGTGGTTGGGTCTGGTCTTGATGTGGATGAGTTGCCCAATGATACCCACACTCACACCCACACCACACACCCACACCCACACCTTTTTGGACTTTTCTTAGTAAGGTAACTGTTTTCAGTATCTACACAAGTACTTTCCCAGCGAACATACTGATATTGGTACTCGACCGTGTACCTGCGTCAGTAAAATTACTGAAAACTTGAAAAGTATCTATACCAGATACTCTGCTAAGAGTTTCTCAGTATATGGGTACCTTGAACTCAGTGCTTTCCCTAGGGATGTAACTATGAAAAATTTTAGTTACAATCCAAATTCATTTCCAATACCTAGTGAAATAGTCATTACTCAAATTTTATATTCTACTTTAAAGCTTCTGATGTCATTTGTATTGTATTAATTGTATTAGTTTTTGATTTTGTAACTCGTTTCCATCTAGCAAAAGGTGGATAGTGGTGTGTAAAGACTGAAAATTCTCCCAACAATAAAAATCTGTCAAATAATTTAAAAGACTTAAAATCTACATCTTATTTTCTGATTTGCATGAAATTGTGATACTTATTTATGATATTAAATTAAAACTTTTCATGTAGAAAAATGTTCAGATCTTTAGTAATCTACTTTTCAAAGAATATATAATATATAAATTAGTAATGATTTCCTTTGTATTGTGTAATCCATCCAGTAGTTCATGTCGTGTTTTAGTAGCACTCACATTACACTGATTGTTGGCATGGAAGTTTTTATATACGTAGAGTAGTATTTGTGAAGAAAACTTTTATGATCTATGAGACATTTTTCTCGGAATAGATTCTTAAGTCAAGAAATTGAGTGAAATTATCATACTTGGACAGCTTAGATGGAAATATTAATCTTCGAATTTTCTGAAGTATTTTATTTTGAAAAAATAGCACATCCTGGAACGTGACATTGAGTTTTCGTCAGAAGAGTTTCTTCTTTGATTCTTTTCACAAGAAAATTAAATTCATCCAAGTAAGGAAAGAAATTTAAAAAAGAGCATTCTACATCACGAGACAAACATGAAAATGAATAGAACACAATAATCTTTGTGATGACATACATTTCCTGTTAGGTGATTGGTGACATTTTGTAAATATCGTATTTCATGGATTTGCCCCATTCAATTGAGTGTAGAGTCTAGATGCTCGACAGTTGTTTGAACAATTACGCACGGCTTTAATCAAATCACAAATTAAATCTTTTTAACTCATTGCTTTCTTTCTCAAAGAATTCGAAACAGGGTCCTGTGGGAACGGCTAAAATATTAAAAAATGGTCTTTTGAGAAAAGATTTTATTTTATGGAAATTCTTTTCAAATTTTGCCGTTTCAGACAAAAGAAAAATGTTCGAAGTCAATCTTACGATACATTGTTAAGAAATAGAAAATATCAATATTCTTCTAATAATGAAACAAGTTCATTTCTTATTCATAAGATCATCATTCAGTTGTTACGACTACTATTTTCTCCGCCATTATTATTTTCCAAAAGTCTAGGACTAAGATGATCTTACATTAAAGTACTATTGTATCTTTTCTATTTGAATGTATCTTTTTCTTCAACAGTGTTGATCGTGTGCTAGTAATATTCTTTTCCTTTGAACTGTTCCATTGATCATTAAGCAAATAACTTTTTTGAATGAAAGTTAGTAACTTTCAACGTTGATCTAATTATGAATACATTTGACTAGAATGTATCTTCAATAATGACTTTACTTTTAGTTTAAAACAATCTCATGTTGAATTATGTGCAAGGCTGTCAAAAACTAAGGTGCAGTCATGATAGTTTGTTTTCCTATACCAAAAAATGTAATCATAATAGCGACTTTCTGAGCATCGCAGGAACGAGAAGAAACATTTTTGACGGGAACGAGAATCAAGAAAAATTGTTTCCCGTAGAACTCTAATTTGAAAACGTGTTGAGATGAAAATAAAATAAAACGAGATGATGTATTTTGTAATGCCAAGATTGATGCAAAGACCATAAGAAGAAAATGCCGTTGTAAAATTTCTTCGGTAGTATAAAAATAGTTTATTTGCCTTTTTCTTTCTGTGGTTCGTGATTGGATGTCCCATATTCTCACTTGGTTTTATTATTTTTAATATTTATTTCTCTATTAAATTTCATTCTTCAAATCGTACACAGTCACCGATATGACTGAATCAAATAAAGCTGGTAATTTAATGAGCATTTTCATTCAAAAGGCTATAGACTGTCACATAAAAAATATTGAATCAAGATTTATCATCATCGCAGTTCACGATGATGAAGAGAAATCTAAATCTTTGAAGAGCGTAACAACAGCAAGCAATGAAAATTCTATTCGAAACGCCTATGTTTTTGATAACGTAGATGAATGTTTCGAGTTTATTGTGGAAAAAGTCTCTTTCGATCCACTTATTACAATCGTTATCCTGGTCGGAGGTGGATTAGTATGTGATCTTGTATCTACAATTCATGCATGTCCACAAGTGTCTTTAATTATCATCATGAGCAAACCGCCATTCCCAGTGGAAGAACATGATTTAATGAAAGCATACGATAAGGTAAACAAATTACACTCGTCTCGACATAATTCAATGAAAAACTCATGATTGCCATCATGTTTTTTATTATTTTTGCTCATTCGCAGTATGAATCAAATAGAAATAAATGATTGAATTTTTCATTTGAAGTGTTGCAAGATTTTCTAATAGAAGAACAATCGTAAGAGTATACCGAATAGCACTATGTTGATAGACAAATGTCTAAAAGGTAGACAAAAAAAATGTGTTTTGAGTTATTGTAGTCATAGTGAAATTTATTACACTAGGAACTATTTAACAATGAAAGTGTTCGGTTATTGTTTTATTGTTTTCCAGTCGTATTCATCTATTTACTGAGCCATAGATGCTACAATTTGAAGTCTGAAATGAACTCGAATATTCTCATATAAGCATTGATAGCAAAGATGGTCGTCGTTTCTTGCAACACATACAATGTGTAACATATACATCTTGTGTTAGATTTAAAGAAAAGAAAAGAAAAGAAAATCAAATACAGGTACAATTTATGTCTAATGAGAAAGTGAAAATTTGTTTACTTCTCTGAATTTTGAGTAAAGGTGTGGTAAATTAAAATTAGAAATGACATATTGAATTCAATTCTTGCTAGTCGACAAGAAGAACTATAAAACACAACAGTTTATGAAATTCCATTGAATAAAAATAACTGACTATTTGTACATATTTTTTTGTCTAAAATCAAACCATTCTACTTGTAGAAGGAAGTTAATATACAGAGACATCTTTGAGCAATTATCATCAAAACATAGGCATCCAAATTATCTTCCTCAAATTTTACCATTCAGCTAAGAGTAATGTAATATATTTTCCGCGCATCAAAATTTATTTAATAGAATGATTCTAGCATTACTCGGTGATATGCTCTAGGTCAAACATATGGCCGACGTTCAAGTCAATGAAAAAACATGTTATTTAGACCAGTATTTGAATACTCACATAACACAACAAACAAGATTCAATGAACCATTATCTTATGAACTGGTAAACAACAGAGAATGCGACAAAGAGATGCCGCAATATGAAGAACCTCTCGAACGCTCATGTAAGCAAATCGATGGCAATATGTTCCTTCGTTTTTACCTGCTTATGTGTTTACGAAACGTTCCACCGTTTCCATCCGACAAAAGTGATCTTATCAAATTATTGAAAACCAACGATTGGGCTACTCCACTAAATATTACAAAATTTAAAGAATCGTACATGCCAAGTCAAGCAGTATTATTTTACACTAGAGATGAGTTTATTTATGGCCAACTCAACAATGCATTGCGTACAAGAAACATTAATCATCTCTTACCATTTCGTTTTATTTTTCAAGATATTTGTGACCAGATGAATGAACTAAATGCACAAGATGAAGATAATCAAACAGTAATTGTATATCGAGGACAAGTTGCCAATCCCTATGAAGTAGCGGATTTGTTTCTAGCTTACTGTCAGAAATCTTCTATTATGACAACAAGTTTCTTTTCAACATCGAAGGAGAAAAACATATGGCGTAATTTTCTTTCTAAACTAAGCGATGAACCGTTTAGTACCGATCCTTCAGCAATTCTTTTCAAAATTACTGCACGAAAGCAAGATGCATTGCCCTACTTTCCATTTGCTGACATATCGAAGGTCAGTCAATTTCCTAGAGAAGAGGAAGTGTTGTTCGCTCCAGGTCAATTGTTCAGCATTGATGACTTTGATATTATCTTTGAGAATAATAAAACAATATTCGTATTCGAAATGATATTGAAGAATGAATCTGAGAAAATTCCTGCTACGGTAAAATCTATATGGCATTCGCAGAAGAATCCGCTGCTTCTTCTTGGTAAGCTTCTTACTGAAAATCAACTATATAACGAAGCAAATGAATTGTACAATCGATTGCTTCTCGAATACGATGATCGAGATGAAAAATATGCCTGCTATCATGGTTTATATGGTATCGCCTTGGCTCAGAATGACAAAAATGAAGCTATGATTCTAGACCGAAAAATGACACAATTAAAGTTTGACATTGAACTACCTTCTATAGACTTTGTTTACGAATCAATGAGCAGCGAAGATAGTGCAAAACTTTCTGCAGTTGCCGAGACAGTAAAAAAGACATGCTCTCAAATGTCTATAAACAGATCATTTGACCAGCTTATCCCTTATATTATGGGTACGGACTTTCTTAATGATGTAAATCAGATTTTGGATTCAGTATATCCGACGGTCAAGCTTTTGATAAAAAATGGAGTATATGATCAAGCAATTATAATTCTAGAGAAGAATCTAAGTTACCTGCAACTGTTCAACAGTACTCCATCTGATCCATTTTTTATACCCAGATGTTACATGCAACTTGGCCATTGCTATCGTGAACTAAGATTAAACGAAGAAGCAGTGAAAAATTATGATTTGGCATTAGAACAAAATATTCGTTTACCATTAGATGAATACATCGAAACATTAATTGGTATTGGTATGGCATGGGAAGCCATGAAAAATTTTGAACAAGCTTTATACAGATATATCGAAGTGGCGGAAATTTATCAGAAAGATTCGATCATTGATGATCCAGGAAGGGTTCAGTTTATTGAAGAATGTATTAGACGCGTTACATAGAATCGTACTAATGGACTGAATCGATCAAAGTTAGCTACTTTTACATATTTGAACTCTCATACTCATTTACTGACAATACAAAAAAAAGTATCATTTTTTATAGTTTAGTGGCCAAATATAAATAGTAGAAATGTCGAAACTCCGAGTCCTTTTTTCACTACTATTTTCATTCTCATGCTTATTGTTATTCTCTGTGAATGTCGATTGTCTTAAAATCTTTTGGAAAATATAATTTTTATTTCATTTACGTGTGCCGTTGAGACAGAAAATCAGAAAAAAACAAGCGCTGGGCAGTATGAAACGAAGATGTGATCGTTTCATCGCTTAAAATTCTACAGAGGGTTTCTACAAATACACATTTATGGGTGTGACTGTGGATATGGATAGGTGCAAAATGTGGGTGTAGACATGTAGCATTGATGGCACCAATGCGCACATCCACACCCACATCCAATCGTTTAGAAATAAACTTATTTATATTATTGAGTAAACAGACTAGAATAAAAATTTATTTATTGACAAAATACAAAACATATAATACTAAGGCAAAGCATGTTGTCTTTGCTTCAATGAAAGAAAAGCTATTCAAACATCAGAAATGGCATGCGTTGCTAGCGCTAATTTTTCAGGTAACACCTTACATTCACTGGAGAAAAATTGATTAGTGATTAGATTTTGATTCCGTGCCCTAGTTAGTTGTATTAATTTAGAATGAATTTCCTTTTCATTCTACCAAAAAAAACACATTGTTTGAAAAATTTCAAATAATCATTATAACGAAAGAAACATAGCAATCTTATTTTGTTTTAATATTAACTCTCTTGATATCGATAAATCATCAAATTCAATAAAATATCAAACAGAATTCTTAAAATCATATCAATCGCAATTTTTATGATTCATTCAAGAAAAACTCAATTCATTCTTGATAACATAAATGAAAATGTTTTTCCATTTCTATCCGAAAAAAGAGAACAATTTTGTTCACATATATGACACACCAATGGTGAATAAATTTACGAGATACTAAGAGAGCGTTTCAAAATATATTCCGGTCGGTCGGTCGTTATTCCTTCATTCCTTTATTCCACTGTTCCGCTATTCCACTATTCCTATATTCCACCACTATTCCTCTGTTCCCTTATTCCTCTATTCCGTTATTCCATATTCCTCGATTCCTTCAGTTATTTATTCTGTTATTCATTCTTTTCTATATCTTTATTGCAGAACATTTGATTATGGACCGCCTTCTCGTTCAAAAGTAAATTTTTTCTTTTCTTTTATATCTTCAAAGATTATTAATCACTCTTTGAAAGTATTATCCACTCATCAAGCTATCGATTGCATATCGAAATCAAAAATGTTCATTATGCATAGATAAATCCCAGTGTGAAGCTATTCGGATGTTCACAAGAAAAATTTTCTCGTTAAAAATGCAATTGTATCATTTTGTCAGAGCATTCTTGAATAACTGAAACTGTCGATGTTCATTAATCTTTATTTGATTTGATTAGTAATTAAAGACTAATAAATATCGACAGTTCAAGTTATTCAAGACCAGAGTGAGAATCGAAAGAGAAAATATTCAATCGATTCGATTCGACCGTACTTGATTTTCAATTCGGTTGCACTTTCATTACGAGTAGAA